CAATCAGGGCTATAAGGATCATAGTGAGATCTGAAAACAAACCCTTCTCTTCACGTGCTATATGGGGCAATTTCAGAAGAAATAAAAAAGAACAGCTTCTCCCTTCCCTACTTTATAAAGCCTTGGTCTCACTTGCTATATAGCACATGCAATTTTGAGGCTTAGACATCTAGTAATCTGTAGCACTGCGGGGGAAGACTTGAGGAAAGGCTGGAAAATAATAAAAAGAAAGTCCGGTTTTCCTCCCTGCTCAACCCTGCCCCCACCTTTCCAGACAAGTCTAAACAGCACTGTGAAATTCCAGTTTCAGACAGGCTGCGGTCTTGAGCAAGAGCACTTTGCAGAGGGGTGTGCCCCTAGCTTATACTCTGTAGCACCTCTATTGTAGACTTACTGGTCTGAATCATCAACTAAACCACTTCTGACATTTTCATGTGTTATCAGATCACCCCAAAATTAATTGTCTGTGCATGTGCTTATTGTAGTAAGTAACCACTATTGTATCTTTGAGAAATTAACAAAGGAATATTATCAGTGAGTTATTGTATTCTGCCAGGTTAACAACTTTCCCCAAAAGACTGCAAGTTGTTCACTTGGCATTATTTTTTCTTGGAAAATGAATTAAAATTCAATTAATTTAATTCATTGGACCCAATGGCCCTCATGGCCCCTTCCAACTCTATGATTCTATGAATAATTCTGAATATTTCCTGCACCTGAGAGAAGCAAGCTTTTAAAGGCATTGCTTCCTTTATTGTAATTAAAAATGAATGCCAATGCTTCACTGGAAACAATAGAACCAGTGAATATCAATGACTGGGTACCAATCACAATCAGTCCAGGCACCATATAAAACAGAGTAGCTCCTGAAGGGGAATGGAGTGGGTTACAGGGATAGGAAAGGCTCCAACAGGCAATCTTTTAATTTGTTTTCCCTATTTCTTCAGTTAATATTGCTGAATGGGTGTAATGAATGGTTCACTCAGCTTCTCTGCAATTATGAGAATAATCATTCTTTGAGGGTACCTTTGAGATATGACCCTAGTTTCATTTGTAAATTTACAAATGTAGACGGGATGTTAGCAGATCTTATAGCAGCAAATCCTAAAATGTATTATCCATTGAATAAGATCAAAATGTATAAATGTCTTTCAGTCTTGTAGCAGAATATACTCTCTTTTGGAGGTGAAATAATAACCCTATTCAGAAACTATAATGTACTTTAAGTCATTGACTGACAATCAGCTGCTGTAATGAGGCTTCACTTTCCACTGTCCAGCCATAGGGAAATAGTATTTGATTTGCAAGTATGTTGTTTCCCCATTTTTTGCCAGCTATCCAGTGATAAAAATTTATTTAAGCATTCAGTCATCTTTCTGTTTGCTTCAGCAAACATTCAAGAGTTTTTTCAAAAAGCCATCCCTTTTTAACTATCAAGTTATTTCTTCTCTTCCAGATTCACACAATATCCCATACTCATGGCTGAATACGAGTTGTAGAACTATGGGTTGTCATTTTGTCTGAACCCAGTCATGCTAACAAACCATGGTTTGTTATTGCTGCTGGGTTCAGACAATGGCACAGGCAGGTTCGCATGGCACAAGAAACCATGGTGAAATTTTACTGTTGAGGGTCTGTTGCATTGTCCAGACCCAGTTCTAGAGTTCCTGCATGGTATGATTGATTTTCTGAACCATGGGGAGAACCAACCATTTGTTTTAAGGTTTTTATGATTCACCAGTCATAATTTTATCATGACTTATCATAATTTTAAGTCATAACTTTTATCATGACTTATAATTTTATCAATTCATATCAATTATGAATCATAATTTTATAATTGTTGGTATGGCAATACCATAGAGTGCCCTGGCAAGATCAGCCAAGAACATGGCTGCTTCTAGCCTTTGAGCTCAACTGTTCTCAGCTCCCACACAGCAGACATGTCACTGCTTGTTTTATTCCCATTGGCCAAGTGATGTATCTGTCTCCCTGTTAACTTTTGGAAACAAAGAAAGAAGGGGGGAAATTTGCACAGAACTGTTTATTTTCATTTAATAAAAATCTCTGTGGGGGCTGGAGCAGCTGGGAAGCACTGCTGACAAGCAAGTACATTTGGGAGGGGGAAGAGGGACCCACCTTATGATCAATAGTGGAGGAGGCCCTAAAAGGAATAATAGGGAAAGGGCAGGGATTTCTTCTGTGGAGGCTGCTGGAATATGTGGTAAGCCTGTGAGGATGGAATGGTGAGCATGGAAACAGCACTGCCTGGGTAATCACATGACTGCAATGATCAGAAAGCCTGGGCAAAAAGCCTTGGGTTCTTTGCTGTGTCATTTGAACCTAGCAAATAGCTCCTGTTTCAAAAATTCAGTTTAAGAAAACCCACACTTAACTGATACTCATCCTCATGTCCTCTTGACTGATAGATACATCATCCACATGATGCTCATGTGAGTAGCTGAAATATGAGTTTTCACATTGCTTGAACCTAGCCAAGATAACAATTCATAATGGACAAGCAACAATTCACAACTCAGCAACAAACCATGGGTTGTTTGTGGTTAACCATTCAAGCTGGGTTCAGACATCACCTACATTTCAGCAACAACCCACACCCATTGTGTAGGTTTTCTGAACCCAGTTTTTATTGCCAAAGTTCTACAGGATTCTTCTTTTATAGTCAGCCTCTGTTTTATCCCCTACCAGCCCAGTTTTGAACCCCTTTCAATCTGGCATTCACCCCCTGCATTCCACTGACACTGCATTCACAATAATCTTATCAATGGATCTCTATTCAGTTTTCATTACCCTCAGCTTTTCTGCCACCTTTGATCACTCTCCCCTATTTGATTCCCTGGGTCTCTGTTATTCTAATACCAGTGAGGCCTATTCCTACTTTTCCAGTTGTTGTTTCAGTGTCTCTATGGGGGAAGGAGGTAACAAATACACTCTTCCTCTACCTCTGTTGGGATTTTCTCAGGGGTAGGCCTTCTGCTAGTTTTCACATACAATCTCATTTACACAACACAGCAGCTCACTGTAGCTTAACGAAGCTTTCAGTTCTGTTGTATCATGCTGGATACTTATGACATAGTTTTTGCATGACACCAACAGGTGTTTGGCCTACCATGTCATGTGAACACTGGTAGTAGCAGTTGTCTAATGACTGGGCAGCTGTCAAAAAAACCCTAAAAGAAACCATGATTAAGAATTGTCTTGCTCAAACAACTCCTATTACCTGGGTTCGTGGGGGGTGCAGGTGCTAAGCAATAGCACAGGCTGAGCAGGGCTTGCATATTCCAAACAGAGGCCTGGATGCATCACTCCAAGGATAAATTTTTTAGCCAGGATGAATCCAGATTTTATATGTACTTATTTGTATGATTGTTTATTTATGATGATGGAAGCCGTCCCGAGGCTTATGTGAATGGGACGGCATACAAAAATTCCAAATAAAATAAATAAATAAAGTCTTGTTAATTAATTACCTTTGTCACATACTTGTTGTGACTTATAAACACTTTGTTCCTGAATAGTTTATCACATCCAATGGCTTTCAGTACTATCCATATTCTAATAATACTCAGCTCTTCCATATTTTTAGCTCTCCATCTTATCCCACATTTCTAACTGTCTCTCATATTTCTGCTTGGATGTTTCATTAACATTTCAAACCCATGATATGCAAACCTTTTCTTCCAAGTTCCCATCTCCTTGATCACTCTCACCTATTGACAACACTGCCATCCCTTGTTGGATGGGCCCAATACTTGACCTTTGCCCATCAAATCACACCTTTCATCTTTTTCCTGTTAGGGAACACTCTTGTCCCCTTCCTCTTATCTCAACTACAGCAATCCACTCAGCACTTTAATGCCACCATTATTCGCCTTTTTCATCCTTCTAACCATAGAAGTCTCTTTCTTCTCTGGCTTGTCTGTTGGAGCCTGAAGCTTCTCATCTTTCTCTTGAAACCTTCCTCATCCCTTTGGCCTTACATCCTCACACATCATTTCCTGTGACCTTCATTGCCAGGTTCCACCACCCTCAGTTTTCCAAAAGTATCCTGTCCCCTTAAACAACTCCACCTACTCTCTCGCTTTCCTGCCTTACAGCCTGTAATAGGTTAGTTTAGTTCTCCGGACCTTATATTCTCATTGCAACCAAGCCAAATTTGAGATCTCAGTCTCCCACACACTCCTATCCACGTCACGCATCTACCCCACACTCGATTGTTTTCCTATGTCTCTTAGATTCCAGGCTTTTTCCAGTTAGGGATCCGTGTGTGATACAAGTTCTTTTCAAAACACCATGCATATAGAAAAGGCTATCTCAAATATTTTAAAAAACAAATAAGAGGAAGCAACGTCTTCCTCCCTGCCCCCTGTGCTTGAGAGCTAAGAACGTTCAAGCTTCCCGCGCAAACCACCAGCAACCGTCCTTCTCCCAGCTTCTCTCCTACCTCCCGCCCAACTGGCCTTCTTTTGACGTTAACAGGCAGCAGGGGCGGAGCCTGCTTTGACCGACTAACAATATTGGGCAGGGCTGCCAGTCTTTTATCGGTTCTCGTTCGCTCCGTCGTTCTCGTTCACCCCCCCCCCCCCGCCGCCAAACAGGAGGGCTTTGTTTTCCTTCCTGTCTAGGCGCAGAAGCAATCAGTTCCTATGCCTTCCCGCTCGGAAGCAAGGGCCTCCCTTTATAATTCAGAAACGAAACCATTTCTACATTTTCGGGAATACAGCTTCAGTCAGGCTTTCGGAACAAAGAGAAAAGTAAACAGTTCTCCGCTCCACGCCAGTTAGGAACTGAATTCCCATACGGGCCTCGTTATCGACCATACGATAACGGCTTCAGTCGGTGGAATCGGGAGTTATACGCACTGGGGGCGGGGCGGTCTGCGAATATAACGGACGCCTGCCTACTCTGCCCTCTTTCAAGATGGCCGAATTGCACTCGACGTCATTCTCCTTTCCTATCGTCTACTTACCTACCCACCCAGTCGCTCCTTTGCCCTTTTCCAGGATGGCCGCTCTCCACGCGTTGCCAGTATTTACACGTTGTTCCTGCACCTGAGAGGCCCGGAGGAAGTTGCAGGGAGGCGGCTGAAAGAGAGGAGTCCCCGCTCTTCTCCGCCTCCTGCCCCCAAAGTGAGCAACACAGCCGCGGCAAGACGGAGAAAAAGCCCCAGGGGGCGGGGAAGGTGCGTGTTCAAGCGGAGGGGCAGCCAGAGGGTGTGTGTGTAGGCTGGCTGGCTGGCTGGCTGGCTGGCTGAAGGAGTCTGATGAAAAATCTTAGAGAGGGAGAGGCAGGGGTGGGGACGGGAGGTTGAGCAGACAGTTCAAAGTAATAACTGACGGTGGCCTTTTAAATCTAATGGCGAGGGACGGGGGTGGCAAAAAACAAGAGAGGCCCTTTCATTGCTGAGCTGCTTGAGCTCGCCCTTCGCGATCCGTTCAGACCGGGTAGCGCCCGCCCACGCCCACCGCACCCGCTGTTTAATTTGCAAAAAGAGAAAAACGGGGGCTCATTGCCCTAGTGAGACCTTGGGGACAAGTTCCCACTAGATTTTTAATCCTGGTTGTGGGGGAATAGTATTCTCCTACCGTGGTGTAGTAATCTAGATTATTCGAGGAGGACACCTGCCACTTTGCACATGTTAGGGATGTGCTTTTTGTATTTTGTAGTCCTTTTCCTGAAAGTAAATCCTGCGGATTTGGTGAACCATCCTTGTTAATCACATTTAAACTCTACTGTAGCTTCCGATTCCCCCCCCCCCCCCCCGCCAAAGGACCAGTACAACTCTCTGGCTCTTAAATCCCAAACCTCGTTTTTAAAGTGATTCTAATACAGGATTGGCAGTGTTGTGTATGTCTTTATGTGCTCTTACATTTTTCTGTTAAACTTAAAATAACCTTTATATGTGATGTTGTGCAAAGCTGATGTGGCAAGGATTCTGGTTATGGAAAAGTGTGTATGCAGTCAAGTGTACCCCACATCCTATTTTTTAAAAAAATCATTTTCTCTAGTTTATGATTCTAGAGATTTACGCTTGGGATTTGCCTCTTAAGGCATAGTGCATTTCAGGGTATTTGGGGAATACTTTGTTTCAGTAGAATAACTATTGTCACTATGAAATATCAATAAATGATAACAGTAGCCCACGCTGTGCCTGCCACACATGAATTACTAGGGTTTTTAAAAAAATATTTTGGGGAGCAGGGAACCAGGTGTGCACTGTGATGAGGCAGGGAAGCCTCCCTTGGATTTTCTGCCAGAAATGGGCAGTGGAGAATATAAAGAAAGCATTGACCCATTCTTAACCTTTTATTGACCAGTCCCAAAATAGTCTCCATACTTTTAAGACATATATTGTGTGATTGAGATTCAATATCATACGATGACTGTAACAGTTTTCTAGTTCTTGATTTAAGGCCATTTAATTGGATTTCTTTTTAAGAACCAGTGGAGACAATATGTATCTTCTCTAGAGTTGGCATTCAAAATAACTTTTAAAGCAGAAGCAGATCAGCCATTGGAAGTATATTATAATCAGTGCTGTGCTGAAAAGGTGTGTTGTCACTGAGGCCAAAAAGGAGATGAATGTTCTTTGAATGGGGCAGGAAGTGAACTAACTATGGAGCAATGGGGAAGGAAAAGTTTAAAACGGGTAAAGGCTGAAAAACATCCCTCACGAGAAAGGAAGAACACCTGCACACATTTTTCCTGCCAATTTGAACATAGCAGCATATAGTGGTGGTTTGACCCCTATGGATTCTCCCTGTCTTGTGTCAGCTAGACTACTTGGTTAAGGGTGCATTGCTATGTACATTCAGGCTGAAAAAAGTCTTATAGCTTCCAGTATTCCCCAGCCAAGCATGCTGGGAGTTGTAGGAGTTTTTTCTGTTTCAATATGCATAGAATTGCACCCTAAATGTGTGCTGCTTCTGCCATAGTCTTTACTTCTTTGGTAATTCATCACTCTCAAAATTAATTATCCAACCATATTTTATACCAATTGTGGCTTGGCAGTGATTTGAGTACTGGAGTAATGTTATCTTTAACATTCCTGACCTTGCAAACAGTGTTGCTTTAATGACCAAGAAAACAGTGATACTGTTACAACTTGAAGACAAAAATGCAGGCTGTCAATTATGTGAAAAATCACCTCTGCTCTTTCCCTCCAATAGTGCTCTTTACTTCACAAGAGGAAAAGATACAGCCCAAGATGTCCTCTGATTTCATTTGCAGTTTTCATGAATGCATTTTGTAAATTACAAAAAGTCCTGTTAGAGGCAAACTATGTATGACTGAACCCCATCATATCACACTGACTCTCTACTGAAGTATAGCTGAAGTTATACTAGGAGCAGATAACATGTGAATCATTTTTGTTGTCCTCACCAGATGTGCAGTAGTAGTATGCCAAAAATTGGCAATTTTGCAAAAAACAGGCTGTGTAGTTGTTTGGGGAACAGACTTGCCAGAGATGTGAGTTTTTGTTGGAAAAAAATCTGGTGCAAATGCCTACAGTAATTTCCATAGGAAATAGTTCGGTTTGCATCAGAATATTTCTGTAGTGGTGTAAACAACCTGTAAGCTCCAGATATTATAGCTTACAACTCCTATTATCTCTCACCATTGTCTGTTCTAGCTAGAGCTGATGAGACCTGTAGGCCAAAACATTTGGTGCACCACAACTTGACCACCTCTTATATTAAGGCATCCAGTGCAGCATCTTTATTTTACTTGTAGTTAGTAAACAAAGCTAAAAAAATATCCCTAAACCCAAGCTGGTAGAAGAAAAGTAACCTACCAGACAACTTACATATAAGGCAGACATAGCAGCTGAGCTTCTGAACACAAAACCACTCTTTTGAATACCAATAGAGATGCCATTTCAAAGAAGACTTTGATTTTAGAGGAGATCAGCCTTCCAGTTTTTTTTAAAAAAACTTAAGAAAAAAGATAAAATTCTTAAAGAGTAAGGAGAATAACAAGGGATGCAGGTGGCGCAGTGGCTTAAAACTGCTGTGCTGGTTGATCGAAAGGTTGCTGGTTTGAATCTGCACAACAGAGTGAGTTCCTGTTGCTCCATCCCAGCTCCTGCCAGTTTGAAAGCATGCAAATGCAAGTAGATAACAAGATACCACTTCGGTGAGTCAAGGGGAAACCTTTACCTTTTAAGGAGCGTGACAGGTTCCAGGAGATGTCTCTGTAAACACATGGTACCCATTGGCACCAGCTTAGAGATCCAGGCATACAAGAACATTGGTTTTGTGGACGGTTCAAGGGTTATACAGCATTAGTGATATGACTTGTCCAGAAAATTTTCAGTTTGTGTTAGAAGGTTTTGAGTTGCCTTGGAATCACTACAGATTTTTCTCACTTAGTGTATTCATTAATACAGGCAAAATGAACAAAAAAGCTCAGAAAGATACCCTGTATTACTTTTTTGCCCCCATTACAACACACATTTTTGACCTGCAATATTTGCAGGGAAAAATGAAAGCACACTTAAGTTGCTCTCCTTTGAGTTGTAGGAATTGTTATGTCTTAACATGCATAATACTTGGCATTTAAATCACACAAAGAACACTATCTTAGAAAGAATTTTTATTGGAATACTTGGAAAGTATAATGGCATTTGTTCCCTTTACATTGTTTAACTTTGGTGGGGGTGAAGAAGCTAAGATACTGAAAACTTGACACACTAGTTCCTTTTAGCTATCAAAGACATGTACATATAATGCTTACACCTCATCTAGTTCAACTGTACTAACAGAGCTCAACTTTTTTACTAAGGTCACTGGGGCACTTTCAGTTTTGTTGAAGTTTGTCGCTATTTATTAGTTCCATATATATGTATTTATTATTAGATTTTTAGCCTGTCCCATTAGCCACAAAGCTCCCACAAGGCTCCTTATTTCATTGTCCAGATTTCAATGACTTGTGTGCATTCTCTCACATATTTACTAAGGATAATCAGCCAAAAAGCATTAATTAAATTTTTGAAACTCCATGATTGCCTAGTATCGTATTTACAAATGGCAAACATTTTTATCACTGAACTTACGGAACGGAAAACTTTCTGCAGAAAAATTAAGCACTGAAAAAAAATCCAATTCAGAAAATTGGATTACCACCCCACCAGACTAAGAATTATACCCCTGGAAGCCTGTTTCTTTCCAAGATTCCTACCCATCCCCCTCTGTATGTGTTTACCCCTGCCACAGCAATTTCGATGGTGGCAGAAGTGGTAGTTTCTGGAAGCTGATGTGGTCTGTGACCTCTGGAAAATAGCTACCCTGGTCAATATGCTCAGATTGTATAGTTGATGTGTATAGACATGTGATGAAGTCTATAGGCCCAGGTAGGTGGGAATGTGCAGCATGTGGCTTTTGTGCACAGAAAGAGGACAGGGTGAACAGGTGCAATCCAGACTTGTACTGCCAGATACACTGTACTGTATAAATACACACTATTCTCTCTCTCTCATTCTCTCTCTCTCTCTCTGCACACACACACATGGTTGTTGTTGTCGGTTCAGTTTCTTTGGTTTGCTCTCTCTAAGCCACCCAGAGAGGTTTTAGGAATTGGGATGGTATACAAAAACCATAAATAAATACTATACCCTGTGAAGCCAGTATTTTTGTTCACTGTTTTTGCTTTAAGATTTGCAATCTTGCTATAAATACCTTTGCCCTCCACAGAATACCACCACTATCATTTGTGAGAGTTTGGGTAAATAGAACATTTATACATTCTAGTACAATAATCCTATACACTTGGCCATGCACTCTGCATGCTAAAGAAACTTTCCTTTTGGTGTTCTTAATATACATGCACAGATTTTAAGAGCTCACTTGACTTGAAGGCTGAAACTATTTTGTTTGGAAGACTCTAATTGCACAAAGTGGGACTTTCAGCTTTATCCTGTTCATGTTTATTCAGAAGTAAGCATCTGGAATGTTCCACAAGCTAGTGCTGGGAGGTACTGGGGAAAATAGTTTTTCTATGAGATGGAAAGTAAATGTCCATGCTGTTTGGTTAATAGTCATAAATATTCATTATTTGAGAGCTGACTACATTGCAGAGCTTGAGTAATTGGAATGCATAAAGAGGTGTACATTGGGAGGCCTTTTTATTTTCAGGTTATTGAGCACATTTGGAATTTTGGGAGTGCCCTGTGCATTATCACAAAATGGCTGCCATCGGGTGCCTTGCCCATTCATAAAATCGCCACCACAATGGGCATGACTGGTCACAAAACATTGCCAGAAGCCAGACTGGTAAGCAAAAGAAATTTATACAACTTTATACAAAAATGAGGTGGGAGTTGAACTTCGAAACATGAAACCAGTCTTCTGAGGACATTTGTGGGCAATCTTTTGCTTTGCAGCATACCAGCCTCCCGGTTTTAAAATTAAAAAAAAACCTTAAGTCTCAAAATAAAAAATCAAGAAGGGCAGGGAACATAACAGGTGTTAAGAAACATGCCTGTAGGCTTGTTAGGACATGGTGGAACCCGTAGACACCATCATGGAGTCTCAGGCATACGTGATCACCAGTCCGGTTTTGTAGTTTGCTCTAGAGCTATACAGATCACTGATAAGGGGTTTTTTTGGAAAACTTCAGTTTGCTTCAGAAAAGGTTATCCTTTGCTAGAGGGTTCTCTAATTTATCAAGTTTGCTAAGTACAATAAATCATAGACCTTAAAAACAGAGTACCACATGGTAATTTTTGGCCTATTGTGCCACCAAATATTTGACCAAAAATATTTGATGAGAAAAATTACCCTTAGAAGGAAGTCTATAATCTTGGAGATTTCTGCCTATACATTGCCCTGCCAGACTGCTGCTGACAAATTAGAAGGAGCAGTGGAGACAATTTTTTAACTTTTCCATCCTCCTCCTAAGTGTTTTTCCTTCAGTCAGTCAGAAGCCCATTTCCTTCAGTTTTTCCTTTGATTCCATCTAGAAAAGTTGTGCTGGAGGGCGCTGAAGAGGACTTCAGATTTCTTGGAACTCGGCCTCTCCCCTCCTTCTCCTTCCTGTCCATTGGAACATCCTTTTTTTCCTTCTTTCTGAGGCCATATTGCCTTGGGAAAGAGCTGGAACTCGTCTTTTTGTTTGGTGTTTGTGAGGTGCTGTGGGCAGGGAAACACAACTGAGTCCCCTTTCCAAGGTTTAGAGCCTTGGTCATGGGACTCCATCCAAACAATCTTGTGGTGCTGGAGATGGCTTCTGGGACCACAGGAGTGCTCCCTCCTTACGTTGTTTATAATTTGAGCAATACAATCCTATGTTTGTTTACCCCACTGGAGTTTGTGGAGCTTACTCCAAATTAAATATACATAGGATTGCAATCTTAACCTCAGTCATGAGGAAAGTTCCCCTTGTTCTTTTAACACAGAAAATGAACTGTTCAGGTTGATAGGAAGCAATTACTTAGTTTGAAGAGATTTTAGGGACATTTCCTTGTATTGTATGGAAGCTTCATTTCGCATGTTTTTATTTTTGAAAGGTATAAATGGATACACACACACAAACACACACCCCTTTCCTCTCCTCCCTGCCCCAAAAGCCCATTTGCAAGGTTACTATAACTTGTAATCCGCACAGTTCTTTCTATGCTGACTGCAAGGGTAGCAGGAGAATGTTCTGGGTTCAAGGTTCCCCTGCAACCTCTAAGCAAGTTTCCAAGATCAGAGTTGGGTCTCCAAATTATGTGGCAGTATAGACTCTGTCTAGTAGCAATTTGATTGTGTTGTTAGCCTTCCAATTGTAGCTGAAACATTGTCTTTCATTTTAATGTTTGTAGTTTCCAATGTTCACAGAATTAATAAGACTATAGCTTTCAGTTTTGAGTTCGTCAAATATAGAGCATCTTGGCCCAATTCCATGAACAATGATTAGATATATAAACCTGTGATCATTCTGATCTTTTTAATTAGTGGTTGCTGAGAAGTAAATATGATGTGATTCAGTGGGATTTGCTAAATATATAGAGTAGGGATGGGGAACCTCTTTCAGCCTGGGGGCCTTATTAAATTTTAGAGATGCTCTGGGGACTGCATTCCAGTGGTGGGACAGGCTAAAGGCGAAAAGGATGTGGCCAAAATGCAAACAAGTTCAACATATTTTCGCTTAAAAGCTCCTAAGACCTGTAACTAAAACTAGTAGAGGAATTTCTGCCTTCTAAAATGAGGGGAAAACTGCACAGAAGCGAGGAAACTACCAAATGATTGGTGGTTGGGCGAAGAGGGCATAGGAAACCAGAGGGGCTAGAGCATCCCCATTTCTGCTGCAGTGGTTTGCTGACCTGAGGTCATTATGACAGAGCATTCTGTTCTGCTTGCAGGGATTTCCTCATTTCAGAAGATTGCTCCACAGCTTGACAAGTATTCAGTCAATGACTTCAGCAGAACAGGGATAAATGTGATTTTCTGTGATTCAGCAGCGCCCTTCCTCCCCCCAATATCTGCCCCAGAGGGTCCTCCAACTCTGGAGCAGATTTTGGTGGAAGCCTAGGAGGCTGTAAGGAGGAGGGCAAATTGCTGAAAATCATGCCTTTCCCTGTTTGGCTGACAAAAGGCTTCTATTGGCAGAGATAAAATTGTGGGACCCCACCTGTTCTTGTCAGGCATGCCAAGAAACTGAGGTATCCATAAAAAGTTTTATTTATTTATATATTTACATATATTTATAGGCCGCCTATAATTGCCAAGGCCTTCCTAGGCAGCTTTAAGGCAAGTGAATAAATTGCAATTGTATCTTATGCCATATATGCATTAGTGATGGTTTTGAAATGCGATAATGCCTTTTTGGGGTCTTGTCTGGAATTCATAATACAATTTATCTTGAAATTCTTAAAAATATTAACAGTTCTCACATATCCTATTTTAAAACTGTAGATGCTAATGATAGTCACATAAAAGAAAATTGCCAGCAATCGTTAAAGAGCAACTATAACTTTATTTTGCTTCCATGGTTACTTACTATTTTATGCTATCAGTTTTCTTGAGAAAGCTTTTTATCACAACTTCAAATTTGCAAAACAAGATACACATCTGAAACATAACATAAAACACCTGTAAGTGGAGATACAATGTGATGGAGAATTTGGAAACTAGATTGTGTGTGCAGTGGTGTATAATCATGCAGTTTGAAATATCTTTATACTTCTTGGATTACACTGTGGGTGTATTTTTAATTAAAAACACAAATGCTTTACTTCTAGCTGTGAATTCCATTACAAGATTCGTTATAAGTTACCAGAACAACCCATCTCCACAAATAGAGAAATGGGTGGAATCATTTCCAGATGGCGGGTAAGTAAATCTCAATTATAGGTTCACATTTTGTATTACATCTATGAACCTTGCTGGGATACAGAGCCAAGATACTGAACATGTTCAGTGTTCACAGGTCTAAAATTAATCTTAGCATCAGAAAAGTTGTATTTATTAATGTAGTGGCTAAACCTAATGCATAGGGTATCATTTTAAGAAATCCGCTTTTGTTCCCATTGATTGCAAGCTTCCCCATAGTAAATTACTTTTGGACACCCATAACTGTGTGTGTGTATGATTCCATTTGCTGCCCATGCATTGCAGTTATATCTCTTCTCTCATCATGGGTTTCCCATTAGACTAACAGAGTGAATCTATAAAGAATGAGTGGGGAGTGTTTGTGGCAGACATCCAAGCCATTCAACTCTCAGGGATGAAAGTGGGTGTTGGAGTTTTTTTCCTCTTACTATGCAAACTCTGGAGATGGCATGCTTCCCTTTCTATTTTGAAGATGTGCCTGTGGATGAGGGAGCTTCATGTCAGTCCACCCCACCATGCCTCTTTTTCTCTTTACTAATAACAGTGGAACAATAGCGATAGAGGTTTCCACTGCCACAACAAGAGGAGCTCTGATGGTATCCCTCCCTTTCTGCACATAGTGTGAGAGCTCTGCAAAATTCTGTGGTTTCTGGGACACCTTTCCAGGGTCCATAGGATTTTGCCTAAGGAACAGAAAGATCTAGTTTAAGGATACAATGATACGATTCGCTGGGTTTACACAACACAATGACCCACACTCAAGACTGACATGTTTCTTGTGTTTTCCTAACATATATATACTTGTTTTATGTAATTGTTTGGTGGCAACCATATTTATGATTGATGTATCCTATTGAATAGGAAATAGATAGGTTGATGCATTGTCATCTTTACTGGAAAGTAAAATAGTTTTTGGTTTTTATTTTCTTTGTACTAAGGAATATGGGCTCTGTGGGGCTCTGTGTGGGATATGTTAGAATTTTGTCTTTCTTTTGATTTTAATTTTCAATTCTTGTCATCTTCTATTTTTCCTAATTTTATGTTAGGGTTTATCCATGCTATGTTAATTTGTACTCATCTGACACTTTTACCTTAATCGGTATTCATTTGAATCTTTTACATTCAATATAGATACCAAGTATTGTTGTGATTTAAATGCTACCTGCAAAATTGTTAAAAGGTGTATGTGCAAAAGGACCAAGAATGTTCGTTTCATCTTTCTTTATATATTTAATGTGATGTCATAGAATGTCAAACAACTGTAGAATCCAAATTAGCAGAAAAAAGTGTTTTCCTGGTTAAAACAGTGTAATACTGAGGTCTCACACACAAAAAAACACACTCCTGGTGGCTGAAGATGTTCATCTTTTGGAAAGAGACTGGGTGGAAGAGAAGCTTATGCTGACTTGCTTTAAAGTGTAGTGATATTAAAGCATAAAAGTTCTCATTTCTCAGACCAGGAAACCATTATTGACTGGATGATCACTTTTTAAATGTTGGTTGGGAAATACAATTATAAAATAATGCATTAATTAATGTATATGTGCCGAGCAACAATTCACAAAACACATTCAACCAAACATAATCAACGTATGTTTCAGCAAATTAGTCAATATTGTTGATTAGCTGATTGCTTATAGTTGGGGGGATCCTAACAGAATCTTAGATGCTTTGCTAGGTAGTAATTCTTCAGCCCAAAAACAGCATACCAAGATGAGAGTCATACTTGAGGCCTATTGGGCCAAACTAGGCCTGATGGGTTATTGGAGAATTTTGCATTTTGATGTGAGGGAATGTGCATTTATTGCACCTGTCCCTTTTTAGTGCTTTTCGTTAGACTGCTGGATACGTTTAATTCATGCCTGTAAAACATACATGTTGGTAATTTCAGACCTCACTCCATTCTGTATGGAACAATTTTTAGATTTCTAAAACCTTCCAGTCTCTGACTTTTTTTTGCTTACCAATGAGTTTTTTTTAAGGTTTCTCTTGAGCTATGTGAGTATTTTGAAATTAATGAGGGTACAGTAGACTTTTGTGCCATTGCATGGTAGGCTAGTAAAACCTTTATAAGGGGCTGTATTGTTGCCTACACTTTATATAAAAATAAACAAAAATCCAACAAGCATTTTAAGCAAGAAACTGAAATCTCTAATAACCCAATTTACCATCTTTGCAACTATGCAACTGTCAGGAATTTCAGAGGGTTAACTGTGAGCTGAATAATATCCTCTCACAGCAGACAGAATTTGCTTTAACACGTTTATATCAAACATACTGGGAAAATTGTGAACATCCTAGTTATATTTTGGCTCATTGTCACAAGCAGAAAAACCATAGAAAAGTTACTTCAGCTATAAAAGATAGGAACAAAAGGTACACATGTCACCCAAAGACATATATTTTTTAAATTCTAGCCTAAATTGTACCATAAGGGCAGAGAAATGGTACAGAATATAGATACATTTTCTCCTTGTTAATCTTCCAAGTTTAGACTTCTCTAAGCAGCAGTTTCTCCTAGCTTCCATATTGACGAAATCCCAAAAGTAATAACATGAATGCTGGTAAATCATCCAGGCAGGATGGATTTCTGAGTGATTTAAGTAATTTTTGAACCTGTTACCCACTAAGGCTTATCACTTTTATAAGGGTATTTTTGAATTGGGTTCCCTCTTGTCATCACTTAATGATGCTTATATCACTGTGCTTCTCAGGGATAATACTCAATGTGCCAGCTGTTGACATGTTTTACTAATAATGTTGACATTAAAACACAAGCTGTTTTTGGCCAATGGATTGCAAGAAGTTATCAAAACTTTCTGGCTATATCAGGTAGGGATTCTTCGATTAATGGTGGTCGATTTGATCCATTTTCTCATGTTCGAGCCATTTTCTCATGCCAGATTATCCTTAAAGGGAAACTTAGATTGACAAATAGGCAAGAAAGAATTGATACGACTATCCTGGACACATAAGCAGATTTTTACACTAAATCAGTTGATAACTTTCTGTCATTTTCTAGTTTTCATGCTAAATTGCCAAATGCCAATATATTCGAGATATTTGTTAGAATCTAGATTTGCCTCTGCAGCTTTTGCTGCTTTAGATGCTCCTCAATTCTAAAACTTACTAAAGCTGATTGGCTATGTCAGCCTACTATATGGATTTATGAATACTTATAATATTTGATGAGTGAATATGGTACACAGGCTCTTGAGCAAGAATGAAATAAACGGCTTTATTTTGGCAAACAATGCTGAATTAGCACTTGTTTTGGCAGAGTCATTGGATCTCTGACTGCATCTTATTCAGCAAAATCTTTTGTTCTATATATATTGGGTATCACAGCATCTGCTCAATGATGACTGGAAAGATAAACAGATACCTCCATTAATCCAAAGGATTGGGAAGCTATTAACTCAGCCTTTGAAGAGGTGGTATTTAGACACTATCTACACATAATAAAGGGATTAATAAAGGGATATCTGATAGTAATATATTTCTTTATATGCATGTAATATATATGTGTATAAATTACATCTCTGTGTATATATATATGAGCAATATGTGTGTTTATATATGAAATGCATGTATATATAAAGGTTGATATACTTAACCTTAATGCATTGTAAATCTTTCTTTAACATTTTCTTCATTATTTTGGGATTTTATTAGCTTCTGATTTTCCTATATATGAGTATAGTTGTTGAACTTTGGGCTGTTGTGTTGTATAAACCCAGCCATATTTACAATGTTGTTGTTGTTAGTTGCGAAGTCGCGTCTGACCCATCGCGACCCCATGGACAACATTCCTTCAGGCCTTCCTGTCCTCCACCATCCCCCAGAGTCCACTTAAGCTCACACCAACTGCTTCAGTGACTCCATCTACCCACCTCATTCTCTGCCGTCCCCTTCTTCTTTTGCCTTCAATTCTTCCCAGCATTAGGGTCTTCTCCAGGGAGTCCTTCCTTCTCATTAGGTGGCCAAAGTATTTGAGTTTTCATCTTCAATATCTGGCCTTCTAAAGAGCAGTCAGGGTTGATCTCCTCTAGGACTGATTGGTTTGATCGCCTTGCAGTCCAAGGGAGTCACAGGAGTCTTCTCCAGCACCACAATTCAGATGCCTCAATTCTTCGGCACTCAGCCTTCCTTATGGTCTAGATTTCACAGCCATACATTGCAAGTGGGAAAACCATAGCCTTGACTATACGCACTTTTGTTGGCAGGGTGATGTCTCTGCTTTTTAGTATGCTGTCTAGATGTGCCATAGCTTTCCTCCCCAGGAACAAGTGTCTTTTAATTTCTTGGCTGCAGTCCCCGTCTGCAGTGATCTTGGAGCCCAGGAAAATAAAATCTGTCACTACCTCCATTTCTTTCCCATCTATTTGCCAGGAAGTGAGAGGACCAAATGCCATGATCTTAGTTTTCTTAATGCTGCGTTTCAAGCCAACTTTTGCACTCTCCTCTTTCACCCGCATCAAAAGGCTCTTTAGTTCCTCTTCACTTTCTGTCATTAGAGTGGTATCAGCTGCATATCTGAGGTTGTTGATCTTTCTCCCCACAATCTTAATTCCAACTTGTGATTCATCTAGATCTGCATATAAGTTAAATAGGCAGGGAAACAGTATACAGTCTTGCTGAACTCCTTTCTCAATTTTGAACCAATCAGTGGTTCCACGTCCAGTTCTCACTGTTGCTTCTTGACCTGCATATAGGTTTCTCAAGAGAAAAATAAGATGGTCTGGTACTCCCATCTCTCTAAGAACTTGCCACAATTTGTTGTGATCCACACAATCAAAGGCTTTAGTATAGACAATGAAGCAGAAGTAGATGTTTTTCTGGAACTCCCTAGCTTTCTCCATGATCCAGTGTATGTTGGCAATTTGATCTCTAGTTCCTCTGCCTCTTTGAAATCCTGCCTGTGCTTCTGGTAGTTCTCAGTCCACATACTGCTGGAGCCTAGCTTGTGGGATTTTGAGCATAACTTTGCTAGCATGTGAAATGAGTACAATGGTGCGGTAGTTTGAACATTCTTTGGCATTGCCCTTCTTTGGAATTGGAATGTAGAAACTGACCTTTTCCAATTCTGTGGCCACTCTTGAGTTTTTCAAATTTGCTGGCAGATTGAGTGTAGCACTTTTACTGTATCATCTTTTAGGATTTTGAATAGCTCAGCTGGAATACTCTCTCCTCCACTAGCTTTGTTGTTGCTCAGACTTCCTAAGGTCCATTTGACTTCACATTCCAGGATGTCTGGCTCCAGGTCAGTGACCACCCCATTGTGGTTATCAGGGACATTAAGCTCTTGAATAGTCCTTCTGTGTAAACTTGCCACCTCTTCTTAATCTCTTCTGCCTCTATTAGGTCCCTGCCATTTTGGTCCCTATCATGTCCATCTTTGCATGAAATGTTCCCTTCATATCTCCAATTTTCTTGAAGAGATCTCTGGTCCTCCCTATTCTATTGTTTTCTTCTATTTCTTTGCACTGTTCATTGAAAAAGGCATTCTTATCTCTCCTTGCTATTTTTTGGAATTCTGCTTTCAATTGGATGCATCTTTCTCTTTCTCCGTTGCCTTTCACTTCCCTTTTTTCCTCAGCTATTTGTAAAGCTTCCTCAGACAGCCAGTTTGCTTTCTTGCATTTCTTTTTCTTTGGGATGGCTTTAGTTGCTACCTCTTGTACAATGTTGCGAACCTCCTTCCATAGTTGTTCAGGCACTCTGTCTATCAGATCTAATTCCTTAAATCTGTTTGTTACCTCTACTGTATTTTCATCAGGGATATGATTTAGGTCATACCTGAGTGGCCTAGTGCTTTTCCCTACTTTCTTCAATTTAAGCCTAAATTTTGCAACAAGAAGCTCATGATCTGAGCCACAGTCAGCTCCTGGTCTTGTTTTTACTGAGTGTATAGAGCTTCTCCATCTTTGGCTGCAGAGCACATAGTCAGTCTGATTTCTGTGTTGACCATCTGGTGATGTCCATGTGTAGAGTCGTCTCTTGGGTTGTTGGAAAAGAGTGTTTGCTATGACCAGCGTGTTCTCTTGACAAAATTCTACCAGCCTGTGCCCTGCTTCATTTTGTACTCCAAGGCCAAACTTGCCTGTTATTCCGGTTATCTTTTAGCTTCCTACTTTAGCATTCCAATCCCCCATGATGATAAGGACATCATTTTTTGGAGTTAATTCTAGAAGGTGTTGTAGGCCTTCACAGAACCGGTTAACTTCAGCCTCTTCAACACCAGTGGTTGAGGCATAGACTTGGAGTACTGTGATGTTGAATGGTTTGCATTGGATTCGAACTGAGATCATTCTGTCATTTTGGAGATTGTATCCCAGTACAGCTTTTCCTACTCTTTTATTGACTATGAAGGCTATTCCATTTCTTCTGAGGGATTCTTGCCTGCAGTAGTATACCTGATGGTCATCCGAATTAAATTCACCCATTCCTGTCCATTTTAGTTCACTGGTTCCTAAGATGTTGATGTTCAGTCTTGTCATCTCTTGTTTGACCAGCTTGTCTTGATTCGTAGATCTTACATTCCAGGGCCCTATGGAGTATAGATCTTTATAGCATCAGACTCTCCTTTCACCACCAGATACATCCGCAACTGAGTGTCCTTTCGGCTTTGACCTTCATTCTTTCTGGCACTACTAGTACTAGGCCTCTGCTCTTCCCCAGTAGCACAAAGGACACCTTCCGACCTGAGGGGCTCATCTTCTGGTGTCATATCTTTTTGCCTTTTGGTAGTGTCCATGGCAAAGATATTGGAGTGGGTTGCCATTTCCTTCTCCAGCGGATCACGTTTTGTCAGAGCTCTCTGCTATGACCTGTCCATCTTGGGTGGCCCTGCATGGCATAGCTCATAGCTTCATTGAGCTACGCAAGCCCCTTCGCCACGACAAGGCGGTGATCCATGAAGGGGAACAAATTATAAGTTATGTTAATAGATTCTGTTTGTAATTAACACACCATGATTTATTAGCAAGACTGTGTTCTTAACAAAACAACAATCCACAATTCAGCAGCTACCCACACTCACCCTATATTCAACCTTGAGTGTGTGTTGTTGTGCTGTGTGAATCCAGCTATTGTGTCTGTCTTGAAGTGTTCAACCCAAGGATAACCAATTTTTTTAGCCTCAGCTCTTAGCAAAGAATAACATTAATTCCTTTACAAAGAAGTTTTACTGGTCTTCTTTCAGTTGTTTACTTGTAACAGTGCATGTTTCAATAAGCTGGAGTATTTCGTCATATTGAAAATAGCCACAGTTGTTCTTAGTTTCAGTTACATCAGCTTTCAAATAGGAGAACTGGATTTCTCTAAGGTCATAACTCTTACTGGAAAGGTAGAATCTTCTGTTCATAGGGTCAAGTTGAATGTTAGCCTGCTCTGAGTAGATCCATTGAAATTAATATCTTTTGGGAGCGGCTCTCCGAGTTGGGAGTGGGGGGAATTGCATTACAGTGGTTCCGCTCCCACTTGGAGGGCCATTTCCAGAAGATAGTGCTTGGGGAATATTGTTCTGTCCCATGATTCTCCAGCATGGAATTCCTCAGGGGTTAACAAAAGTTAAAATTAAACAAATATTAATGTTAATTAAATTGATTTAGCATTATGTGATCAAGGAAGTATAGTAGATAACATGATTAGAAATGAGGTTTAAAAAGAAAAACATAGGCTATGTATTGAAAATTATTATCATTTCCCCCAGCTCGAACATTCAGCTGTTAGCAACATGTTTGCAACCTTGTTCTTGAGGGCAAATTTTTATCACTTTTTCCTTCCTTTATAAGCAGGCAAAGCCTTCTACAGTAGAAGTGTTAGAAAAAATTGATAAGGTAGGTTTCATCTCTTACTGCCTATTTTAAGATTGAAATCTAAGGAACTAAAATTATTTTCAAGTGTGAAAATTTATATTGTGGCTAGAGTAGGACACTTTATCAATAGTTTTAAGGCTGGGGGTGGTGAACTTGAATGTTCTTGATAGCAGCAGTGCATTACGTATATAGCTGTGGGAATCCTACATTATGATAAGGAAGTCTACAGTGTAAGTTACGTGGGCATAGATAGTAGTTGTTCTGCAAATCGGTGAAATGAATGAGGACCAAGTTGTCCCCTGAAATCTGGAGCTGAGAGTGCTACTCATACTACAGTCCTTCCAAATACTAAGAGGGCATGTTGCTGTTGACAATTGAGCAAAAACATGCCTGCCTGCCTGCCTATGCTTAAGGTTTATTCTTTACAGCACAAATAACTGAAAGAAAACATCCATTCCTAACTTACAAATGTTTTCAGGATGTGTTGATCACTCAGGCTGAAGTCCACAAATAATGTTAGGGTTTACTAGCTGAAAGCAATTTTATTTCTGCTTGCCTGCAAAGTGCCTCTGAACGTGTTAGGTTCCTTTTTCTTACCATGTGGCAACTGGCAGCCTGCCCCCTCCTTCACAGAATTAAGAAGGAGGGTTTGATAGTATAGTAACATTTGTTTTGTTTGCTTCTTATATCTGATGTGGAAAAAGAGTGCAAGAGAGAAACCAGTTGCAAATGGTGCTGGAGAAGGGCTGCAGGGGCAGAGGCACTGCTGAGAGTGGAAAAGGAGATGTGAAATTACTCTTTCCCAGCCAGCTCATCAATGTTCAAAGCAGACCTTCGTGTTCTTAAAAACAATCTGCCTGCAGAGGAGTACATTTATAGGGTGAGAGGTGGAGGCTGGGGCTGCAAAGGTTCTTTAGCAGTGGATGCTGAGTTTTGGAGGAGTTTTTCCTAGCGGAAGGACCCATAAGAAACTAGGTGGAGCAGCAGCAGCTTTGTACATTGAAAGGAAGACAAGCTAAAATGCAGTATTAATCTACACAGAGATAAAGAAAACAGTGTGGCCCACTCTCCCATGCAGGCTGCCAATCAGATCTTCAGTATCCCTAGAAACAGAAGGGAGACAAAAGTCAAGAAGCCCTTGCTGAAGCCAGTTTGACCTAGAGAATGGTCTTAAAAACTGGCATGCTAATCTGGGTTCTTCTAGCATTCTAGTTTCATTGTAGTCATGCAGCCTCCTTCCCTGAGAATTGCTCCTCGTAAGTATCCAAGATTTTCTGGCCCCTAACATGTTGGTGAGTTGGTTTATGGGTCTGATGATGCAGGCAGAACTAACTAGGAATAGACGTTCCCACAGAATCATTAGAAATTACTTCCGAACTAATATGGCAATGATTAAGATCTTATATTAACAAACAACAAATAGTAGTGCCTGTACAGAATGGTTTGGTCAGATGCATTGAATTCACAGTGATTCCAGATAATAAACGTTACTTGAAATATAAAACTACACACACATTTAGCTTCGATTACTTCAGGCATTTTGTGTTATCCTGAACAGGAGATTATTAAAGTACACTGTTGTTTTTTTATAATGGGTGCAGGGGAAGTCAGTTAAACCTTGTGCAGTGATCAGTCCTTCATTCCATCTCTTCTTCTTCCTCTCATAAACCGGATTCCCTAGTGGTGCCCCCATCCCTCCCTCCACGTGTACCTGCTTGTGCAAAGTCTGCATGTGTTTGTTGTTGCATGCAGGGCATGGACTAGATTGTGCTTTAGGTTAAATATATCAAAAATGTTAAGTACCTGACTTAGCTTGTACACCTTAAGAGAATAGTTCACAAGGTTAAACACTTCCAAAATGGTTCAGCTTTAACAGCTATTTCTCTGTATTTTACATTTACAGGATATCCAAGCACTAGAGGAGTTTAGAGAGAAAAATCAAAGGCAGCAGAAGCTCTGGGTTGGAAGGTTTCTTCTATATTCATCACTTCTTTATCTTGTTTCCTGTCTTATTATTTATTTGTGGTATCTTCCTGATGAGTGGACAGCAAGGTTCATCATGACACTTCCACTATTTGCATTTCCATTGATGTAAGTAAAACATGACTTTTTTAAAAAAGGAGACCTGTAGTAGGTTGAGTGGGGTGTGTACTGGACAGTTTTGGATTTGTTGTAATCTGCAGGCTTTTCTTAAAAATTGTAGGAAATTATCACTAAGATCAGAAGAGCCTTGCAGGAGCTGACTAAAGGCGGGCCATGTTGAGCATTCTGCTTCTTACAGAGGCCAGCCAGCACACCACATGAAGGCTTCAAACAGGACATGAGGACAATAGCCCTCTTCCCAAGGGCCTGGTATTCAGAGGCATACCACCTCTTATCCTGGAGGCAGTGTGTTACCATCATGACCAATAGCCACTGATTTATCTTGCAGGAAATTGGGTGTTCCCTTCTTGAAACCATCCAATTCTGATACTAAGGTGATTTATCACAAGTACTTCTAAAACCTTTAAAAACAGACTCAAGCATGAAACGGAAACAATGTACTGGAGGGTTTATCATAAGAGCAGGCTTCTAAAATGAAAGCTAACGTTATAGGTCCTCATTGACTTTCAAGTCCACCCATTGCAAGCCAAAAATATCATTATCACAGTTGGCCAGAATACTTCCTGAATCGTAACATCACAGCCCATTATAATGGTATTTCAATGGGCATCTGTAATATGCACATTTGGAATGTTACTGAAAGTTGACCAGGAGAGATTTGAACTGAAATTTTTAAGGGGTGATGGGCTGCATAGAATTACAGCTGTGGTGGACAGTGGAATGCAGGAGCCAGTGCAATCCTTTGCAACAGGGATGGGGAGTCGGTGGCTCTCCAGATGTTGTTGGATTGCAACTCCCAACATTCCTTGCATTGGTTATATTGGTTATGCCTTATGGGAGTTGCAATCCAGCAACATCTGGAGAGCCACAGATTTCCTTGCCCTAGCTTTTTAGAGAAGAAATCGATGGACTGGCTTTTAGATCACAAGTCAGGGGTTATTTACTGAGAATTCTGAATCCAATTGTTACTCCTTCCCACCCCAAAGCTCCCCTACTTTCCTTAACAGGCATTTTGAGAATGTGAGAAGCCAGGCAAAAAGAATTTTACTGAAGAAGAGAGATGAGATATGGAAATAGTTATTCATTTTACCATCCCTTATTCTTTTTCCAGCAGTGCTTGCCATTTCAGTCCTGTCCCCTCGCCCTTGCTCCTTTCTCTTCTACCCAGTACTTGAAATAAATGCCTGTTTCTGGTGAGAGGAGCAGGAGTGTATAGGTTTGTTACTGCACTACTTATGGAATATCCAGAAATGATAGGGAGAATATTTTGGATTATTGATGAGCAACAACCTCATATAACTGCAGTTCTGTGTTTTCCCTTTCACGTACCTGAAATAACAGGGAGGTGAAGGAGAAAGAGGAGTGGGAAGGACTGGCTTCTTTTAGGATCTGGACAGATGTTATTTCAGTGCAGTTTCTTGGTGAAATCCTATGGCATTATGGATTATAAACTCTTCCACAGTTTATACAGTAAGCTGAAAAATGAGCTCATATCTTGCTTACTAGTTGTCAACCCAAAATCAGTTGAGTTCAAGATGGGGCAAATACATAGTGCTTTGACAAGTCAGTATTTATGTACAGTAAGATTCTCTGATAATGATTAGTTAGCAAAAAAGTACTCTGATTTATCTTGGTGGGTAATCTAATTACAGGAACAATAATTGGTGTTCTTGGTACATGAAAAGCTTATGCCTGTGTAGTGTCAGCAGTTGTCTTCTGATTGTGCCGTTGCTGGTGGAAATACCTAATGAGAAATTAAAATTACAGTTGTGTTTATACATTAACTTAAAAGTCAGCTTTGACCGTGCATGATGCCTAGATTTAATTAAATTTAGAAGGAATTGGCAGCACAAGAGTTGCATGTGCCCTGCCCATTTTTTGCAGCCCTCACTGTCCCTTAATTCATTGCAACATTTCAGTATTTGTCTTTTTCTTGTCTGGATACAGCAGTGGCAAAAAAAAAAAAAAAAAAAGCCACAGGAAGAGTACATTTATATCAAAATTACATGCATGTTCCTGGTACCTCTTATTTTAAAGTGAAACAACAATCATTTCTGGGTTTTTTGTTTTTTTCGCTGCTGCTGAATTTTGGCAGTGATTTCAGTTCGGGTGGAGATGAAGTGTCCCATGTTGGGTTCTGAAGTTGCAAATTGTCTCTTTAACTTTTTGATACTGTCTGTCCTGCCACTGAAAGAACTTTCAGATCCTATTATTAATGAAAGTATATAGAAAAAAGTATATTATGGGTGTTGACCTTAGCACTTCCATATAGATAAATTCAGGTAAAAAGAGTGCAGATACTGGATTCTGCCATTTGTCTATTCAGTCTTGTATTGGATCTTTTGTTCTTCCAAATTCCATGCACAAATCTTTAGGGTTCAGATGTAATTGCAGTTACCTGATTCAATATTTCACATGGAATTTAGACTTCTACAACTTGCAAAACAAACGAACAAACCCGCACCTAGCTCCCAAAGCTTTTGGTTCTTTTGGCCTTTTCCATTATAGGAAAGAATGATTGCATATGATTGCTTTTGGTCATGAGGTGAACCAACACTGAGCATCTGGTACAACCTAGAATCTAGATGTTTTCCAGTCTTAAGCAAAGTAAATAAAGTCTGCCTTTCAGCCTATGGTTCTTCACTAGGGCACTGCTACCCAAAGTCTCTGATAGTGATACTGATCCTGGCAAAAATAGCTGCTTCCAGGAACATGCAGTTTGCCCAACTGGATACATGCATTTGCCTTGCTTGAAGTCATGACCGTATAGAGACTAATTGAAAGTATATCTGTTTACCCAGTCATTTGCTGATTTAATGCCTAGCTTAGTAGGTTTTTTGTTTGCTTGCTTTTTATTTTTGTGTTTTATTTCAATTATTTTATTAATGTTGTACACTGCCCTATAATTTTTGAAGATGAAACATAGTATAGAAACATTTGAAGTAAACAGGTAATATTTCACTTCTTAAAATTTTCTTGTATGGTTTTATTTTTTTAAAATCTAAAACATTTTAAAGGTTATTTTTAAAGGACTTTTGGAAACCAGAAGACTCTACAGAATTGTTAAAAATTTGAATAAATGGCTTAAGGAGATGTCTGCATAAATAGAATAATTTAATAATCCAGGGTGCTGTGTGAACAGAACCATTATTTCCAAGATATAAGAAATGTCAAAGAAGTATATTGCTACTTTATTCAGCATTGCTAAGGCTGCTGTTGCAGGACTATTCTCCATTCTGGGTGCCACAATTCCAGAGGGCCCTGACAATTGGAAAAGGAATGAGGAGGTACACAGTATATGTAAAGACAATGTTAAAATATAAGATGAAAGCTGAGGGAGCTAATTATGTTTAGTCTAGAAGAAAGGAAATTAAGAGTGGAGGTAGGAGTGGAGTCCTTCTTTTCAGAAGATCTGGAAAATCATTTCCTAGCTCTAAGTCCTTTTCAGTAGCATGACAAGCTACCTGGGACAGATGCAGAATCTTTCTGTGGCGTTTTCAAGACAAATGACACCCAGTGTGGTGTAGTGGTTAAGAGTGTAGGACTGGGACTTGGACAGCCTGGGTTCTAGTGTCCACTCAGCCATGGAGCTCACTTGGCAACCTTGGGCCAGTCACAGACTCAGCACAACTTGCCTCACAGGGTTGTTGTGAGGATACAATGGGGAGGAGGGGGAGGAGGAGAATTAGGTAAGCCAAGTTGAGTTCCTGAGAAGGAAAAAAGGTGGGCTATAAATTGAATGAATGAAAGGAATGAATGAAGTATGGCCACCTATCAGCTATGTCAGCAGGAAGCATAGAACTCTTAAGAAGTGACATATCTAAGAACTCTAATGAAGTGCAGTAGTGACATGTGTGCACTTGATTGCTGTAATCCCCTGCAGCTCCTTTCCCTGCCATTCACCCAGGGAACCCCCATGTGCAGAGCAAGTAGAAATGGTTGCCAGGTGTAACTGTCTGTGCTCACTTCTGGACACTGGGAACAATCCCTGTTGCCTTCTGCTAGGACTTGTAATTCCCCCAAATCTGAGGCAGGCAGTGGGGTTAATAAGGAACAGTTTTTTATGCTTGCATCTCTCTGCAGGGATTCGTTCACACAGCATCACCATAGCTTCCTTGGGAACCCTCAGGTCCAAGGATGGTAGTAAGACAAGTTGTTATACCTGGGGAAGGGGAAGGGCATGTGCAACACAGTCCATTCCTCAAGAAAAGATCCTTCTGAATTTTTTCTTATACAATACAAATATTCAGATAGGTCAGTGGACTAGATGATTGGATCCTATCAATTCACAGCCTGCATGCTTTGCTCTTAAGGGGATTGTAGTTTTCAGTCTTAATGCTCTTTTCCGGAGAGAAGAGTATGACCCTCCAAGTAATGAACTCATTGTATTGACATTAAAGGAAGTGTTTGTGAAACAGGACTTGTTTGTCACTAGCTGCTTTTTGAGATTGGCATTAATTGTGAAGTTAATAGGTTATGTTTAAGCATGGATGATAGTTCCATGCATAGTGAAGAATGACAGTATCATTCAGTTTCCTCCTGTCCACATTTTAGTAATGGAAATTCATTCTCTTCTCTCCCCACCATACCCACCACAGAGTTTGGTCTATAAGAACACTCCTCATCTTTGTCTTCTCTAAAAGAACAGAAAGAAACAGTAAGTATCTTTTTTCCATAATGTTTTTTCTCTGAACTGTGTAAGCCTAAGCATTGCCCACAGTTATCTTGTATTGAATACCTTGTAGATGGTCTTCTGGATGAGAGCCTTTAATAGAATTTACGGTTGACTTTCTGCAAAACTTCAGGAAAACTACTCAGCCTTATACTTGGCTATAAAATGGAAAATGAATATAACATATTGTGAAGATGAATGGATTAATTGTTAGGTACTTATATGTGTCTAAAAGGATAAAGAACATCTGAATTACTTTCTGTCATATAATAAGTTAAGTGTAATTATAACTCATTCATTTTTTGATAAATGCACAGTGTTTTAAACATTCATGTGCCGTATACTTAGTGTGGTTCAAAATAGCACTGCAGGTAAGGAATTATGTATGTATTCTAAGTAGTAGGGACTGTCAAGCTGACAGCGGCAGACTGGTAGCATACATTGTGTGGGGTGCCAGGGATAGACTTAAGCTCCCCAGTAACTACTTTGAATTTTCCATCCTCTGTTGGATATAGTATACGTTAGTAGTATCTGGCAGTATCAGTATTTATTTCTTAATTTGTGTTTCCTGAGGACAATGACAGAGTTAATTTAGAATTGAGGTTAACAACCTGCATACTTTTGAGATATGCCCATCTTAGCCATGTTACCTGCCAGCGTAGATTAGACCTACTGGGTACAGAAATAGTAAATTCTTTAAGAGAAGGTATGGTAGTTCCAACAACGCTAAAGAAGGCCTTTGTAAGAGTCCTTTTAAAGAAATTGTTACTGGGCTCAACGCAATATTCCATTTCTAGGCAAGGACCATAAGCATGTTGTAGAAGACTGTCAGTCTTTAGTCTGTTAGCCTTTAGATCCATTTCAGCTGAACTTCTGGCTTGGTTGAAGGACCTAGGCAGCTTTGGTTGCTCTGGTGGGCACACTGTTCTGGGAAGCAGATAAAACATGATTCTCTGGAATCTCTTGGAGGTACTTGACATCACTAGTGATGGCTTCTTTCTAGGTCACATTGGTAGGATGGGACTTGGGACATTGTACTTCAGCGGATCAGGTTGTTATCAGAAAGCAGGTCTGAGGTGGTGATGCTCAGTGACACTGCTGGTCTATCTTATGGACACTGGTGTGTGAGGCACTGCAGGGGTCCATTTGGTGTTTCCTGCTGTTTAATATTTTATATGAAGCTGATGAGTAAGTCTCTCTCTTGCTCTCTCTCACTCGGTCTCTTGTTCCCAAGCATGCAGCAGAAGTACTGGACAAATGTTGAAGCTACTAATGAACTGTATGTGGAGGAAGTGAATAGGGAAGCATTTTTCTTCTTCATAATAGTAGAACCCATGGTCATCCCTTGAAACTTGAATGATTAGAGGTCTGGGACATACAGAAGGAAGTAGTTCTTCACATAGCACAGTTTAGTTACAGAATTTGCTTTCACAACTTGGATAGTTTTAAAAGAAGATTAAACAGATTCATGGAAGATGTACTAGTAATTAGTATACTAGTTGTTACATATTCCCTCCAGTAGAAAGGGGGGAATGCCTCTCAATACTACTTCCTAGAGAACATGAGGAGGAGGGTGTAATTACATTTATGCCCTGCTCGTGGATGTCTGGTTGACTACTGTGGGAACAAAACGTTCTGGCTTTAGATAGATCTTTGGTCTCATTCAGCACAGTTCTTCTTTATTTCTTATGTGGATAATGAAACTGGAGCTTAATCCAAACAAGGCAAAGCTTTTGTTGGATATACATATCTCCAACCTGGGCTTTTAGTATCCATCCTGCTTGGGATGGAGGTGTAATCCTTCTTATGAAACAGGGTAGATTCTAGGGATGTTCCTTGGCTCTGCTCATGAGTGTGCAGGGGGCAGCATTAGCCTGGAAAGCCTTTCATCTGTTGAGGCCAGAGTGTGAGCTGTAGGCTTTCCTGGAGAAGGGAAGACTGAGGTGTGGTAATGCATGGTTTTTAGAATGTTATGTCCCACATGGAATTACCCTTTCAAAGTGTTTGGAAACTGCAGTTGGTTCAGAATGCAGTAGCCAGAGCTTTAATGACTTTTAATCATAAGCAGTAGATCACTATAGTATTACTTCATCTTCCTGGACTGCTTCCTTATTTCCTGGTCTAATACAAAACTGCTGCATTTTACATTTTTCAAGATCTGTGTGTTCTAAGATGAGGATGAGGAATCTCTTTCCATAGGAATTCACCTGCACAGTTCAATCAGCAACAGAAGCCATGCTTGGAGTATGTCTGTTGCCTGAATTATGGCAGGTGAATACATACAGACAGGGCTTTCTTCCTTTGGCAACTAAGTTGTGGAATGTCTTTCTCAAAAGATGGCTGTTTTACACTGACTGGCTTTAAGGGTGTAACAAAGACCCAGTTCTCTAGCAGACCTTTGGATCAAGATAATTTATTCCTACAATTTTTCCCTGATGTTTAGTGCTAAGGATTTGCTTTTTCTTTTGCAAAAAAAAACTTTTTGTTTTATTATTGTTTTAACTGCTTTATTGCTTGGTATTGCTAACTGCTTTAAGGGTTTTCAGATTGGAAGCCACAGTGGAAAAGACTTCAGAAAATACTGTGTGTGCCATAGTTACTTTGGCTAGTTGCAACATTTCAGTTTCTGCATGCCTTGGCAAGGATGAATCCTTCTAGGACATGATAGACTACTAAGTAGACATAATGCACCACTGCCACATAGAAGCCTAAGACAAGTGTTCCATATTATTGAACCATAAGTACATGGCCTCTTACAAAGTGGAAGAGGATAGATCCCTGTCCCTAAGAAGTTTACAACCTATCATGCAGAACAGGTGAAGCAGTTGAGGAAGGGGAAGGAAATAGAAAAAAGGGTGAAGAGGGGCCAGCAATTCCAGTTACATTTATTTAAGCTTAGTTACAAGAGGGCAGGGGTAGACAATTTGTGGCTCTCCACACGTTGCCCCATAACTTCCATCAGCCCTCACTATTGGCATTTGCAAGACAGTCTTTACCTGCATTAAACTCCAGTGGATGAATGACAAAGACATTGAGTTGTATAGATGAGTTTACTTTAATCTCTTCCTTGTGCCAGCCTTACTAATATGCTCACAGAAAATGTTTACCTGCCCATACATATCAGGTTAAGACACTTGCAGCCTGGGGATGAGATTGGGGGAACATTCCATTCTTTTATGATTTACAGAAGCTTCTCTACCTTTTCACCAGCAGTCTCAATTTACAATAGGTAAGCAGGTGAGTGCCTGTTTACATCTCTGAGATCTGCAGTGTTCCCCTGACCTAAACATAAAATACTTTAAAATTAGGGTTGACATAAAAATACAGAAGGCTTTTTTATTCTGAAAACATGTTAAATGAATATCATCATTAGATTTAGCTCTACTTTTGATAGCTCTCTGGCTATACAAAATTATCTTATGTTAAAGGTAGCCTAGGATCTGTTAGCTGTGTTGCACTAGGTTGACCTGCTGAAAGCATCTTTTTAAAATGTTCTTAGAATTATATTGGCTAGTGTTAAACATGATTAAATTCCCTAAGGATCTGATGAGAGAGCATTCTTTTCATCTTTTGTCATCTATGGTTAAGTTTTTGGGAGTTGATATAGTAGGAACAATGCTACTATAATTTTGTCTCCAGAAAATATAATTTTATTGTAATGGCTGCCCAGGGAGTGTGATGCTAATGGGAGGCCTGCAAGCAAATTCAGTAAATAAATAAATAAAGCTAATAAACTGTCCAGAGAGCTTTGGCTGTGCAACAGTATAGAAATGTAAATAATCATAATCAGATCATCTTTATTACAGTCAGAGACCAGATCAAAGTAAAACATTAAAAGACAATACAGAGATAATAACCCTAATAACAATGTTTAAAAGTGTTTGTACTGATGTTACTGACAGATGTGCAAGTTAAACAACTACATACAGCTTTCTCTGGTTAGCAGAACTTAAAGAAAGAGGCAAGATACATAACAAATCTAGTATTACTGTGACATCATTAAGCATCTTTCTAAATTTCTTCTGCTTGGAGAGATGAGACTGAGGCACTGGCTGACCTTCCTTGCTTATTTAAAGAGGGCAGATGGTATAATTGTTGGCTATCTTTTCTGGAGAAAAGTTTATGTCAAAGATTACAGGTGGAGGATGGGTTTACTAGAAAAGGTACTTGAACACACAATTAGAGGGCTATTTCTTATGGAGCATCTTTCAGTAGATTATGGTTGAAATCTGCCACAGTTTTGAAACACATACAGTTATATGTATGTGTAAACAATTGTTCTCTTCTATTAGGAATGGTGAGCATGTGACCCTCCAGATGTTGGACAGCAACTTCCATCACATTTTAGCTAGCATTGGCACTGGTGAAGGTAGTTGGGAGCTAAGGTGGAATAACATCTGGAGAACTAGTTATTCCCCATCTCTGGCTTATATCATACCTTTCTTCTAAAGTACTCAAAACAGAATATATGAAGGCATTCCTCCTTAGCGTTGCAAGGTAGGGATTTACCCAGTCTCATCTAGTGAGCCTCATGGCTAAACATCTGATTACTATGTTACATTAGCACTTTCCATTTCCAACTAGTCCAGCACCTTGTATAGTTTAATAACAAACCTGCTCATTCTGCACTTTGAATAATGTGATGCTATGTATGCAAGAAAGCTCTCAGTTCAGTAATGTGCCTTGACAAAGGCCATTCTTCTTAAAGCCATGGGCACTCTTACTCTCAAACAATTTAGCATTTATATAGCATCATCTGAGTTCTGGGCTTTTAAAATAATACAGGCTCTGTCCAGACAGCTTCCAATGAAATTACTTAATGCTATGTCAGTAGTGGCTTATTGCACTGAGCATTTTCGAGTTCAAAATTTGAGTTGCATTGAGTTCATGAAAAATCCCACATGTATTTCAATTTTAGTTTTTCCCTTTTCTAAGAGGTTGAACAAAGTTGTGGCATTTTATACGGCATATAATAGTGCTCTCTCTGTCTTTATCAGAGTGGAAGGCCTTTCTTACAAGCAGTAGCTTGCACACAACAGGTTTTATTAACTTGAAAGGATTGCAAGGTTGAGCCTCTGATAACACATGTTAATTTTGGGATTGATTTTTAACACTTCAAAGTTAGAGTCTTACTTAAATTTCACCCTAATATACTCTTTATTAAGTGGCATGCTTGTAAAACAAGCTTCGTGTCTTTTTTTGGCCTTGTTAATTGACACTGTTGTGATGGGTCAAAACAATTTTAGTTCTAATAGCAGTCTGATTGATAGTGATGCATAAAAATTAAAAGGCTTAATAATTCACCATACTTCATTGCAGTAAAAGTGGAAGCTGATCCTGAATGATGTCTTACAAAACTGTCCCATTAATTAACCAAAGGAGAGAGGATTGGCTAATGTTCTGTAAGAACTTTGACCACTGGAGAAGGGAAGGAATTTCTTCTGCTGCAGAAGCCTTCCATGTCTCGCAAATCTTCTCTGGACTTTCTGAAACAACGTTGAGAGGATCCAAAAGGGGCTTCAGAGGGACGAGTGGATGGGGAAATCCTGTTGTGCTGGCAGAAGTCCACTTGACCAACATTGGATTTAAGCTTATATCCACATATGGATCTTTTATTTACTGAGCATGTACATAAACTTGACTTGTCACATCAATTCTAAAATATTAATATATATCTTCTTTTTTAGATGAAGCATTAGAAGACCTAAAATTGCAGAAGAAAAAAATAGTAAGTGTTTATAAATGAAGTATTTTTGTGTATATGTGGACAGACCGACATGTCTTTGTGAATATCTTACCTAGATATTTCACCAACTTAACCAAGTTCCTTGTGTTCAGTGAAAGGTTTTTCCCCCAGTGGAGGTATGCACCAACCATAAAATTCAACTGAGCCGCCATTGGTTCCTTCAGAAAATTTCCCGGTTCTAATGAACCCAATTCAAGCACTGTCCACTTTGACAAATCTATGACTTTGTGCTTCCCATTGATTATCCTGGGAAATTTTTAAAAGATGGCAACTTTTCTGTTTGTGGATGAAATCTGAAGACATAGTAGCCTCTGAGGAAAAGATGAGGCTTGCCAAATTTCAGGAAAGGGGGGCAGTGTTCTGTGTGCTATATGCATGCTCTGCTTTAAGGGTAGAGAATCAATCTGGATTAGTGGGCAGCATACAAATTCAAAAATAAAATAAAGAGAACAGCTAATAACATTATTAGAATTGAATTAAAGTTGCAGGGATAGTTGTGCCTTCCAAGGATCAAGCCTGCCAAGTTTCAGTTAAATAAGTGCAGGGAGTTTTGTATATGACCTGCATTTACATTTTGAGGGCATCAAAAATGAAGCACTTATTCCCTTATGAACTCTTGAACCATTCTTCTGAAAATGACGGACTGTATAGAGGTGTGTCCCAGCAAGAAAATAGCAAAACTTCAGAAGGATAAGGGAATGGGTTTATGGGGAAGGGGAGTCCTCAGATATGAGAGAGTTTGTGCAAATGATTCATTTGTGTTTTTCCTTCCTTGTAGTCTTTTGGACAGTTTGTATGAAGTAGAACACACAAACCTTTCTCCAACCAAGAAACATGCAAAATTTCTGAAGGATAGGTGCAGGCCCTGCAGAGTGATAGTGATTGAAAACCACTTTGAGGCTTTTTTCATAGTGAAGCCTGGTGGCACTGAAAGAGTGGCCATCTCATGGTCCTATCCTGCCCTCCTAGAAAGCATAGTGATGGGAGAGCTCAATTATTACAAGGTGGACCTGTCAGCCCCCTAATCCTAGTCCCTCCTTCCCCCCCATTTATTAGCATTTAGAGACATGAAAGGAAGAGTTGCTATTTTTGCACTGTACACCTTTCCAAAGTCTCATTGCAAATAGCCTTGTCGAGTGTCCAGCTTTGGTGCTACTCAGAAGGAATGCACAGAAAGTCCCATTTCGGTTCAGGCTTTGGCTGAATCCAATGCACATCATGTTTGAACACAATTTAATTTTCCTAATTATTTGTATTTTTCCTGGTATACAGTAGTATCCTGTTAATAGAACTCAAAAGAACTGTGGCCTTTTGAACTGTGCATATGTTTCTGTTCTGTTAATATATCTGTTAATTAAACAATTTGGATTGTGTGCCTATGTAGCAAAGCTGCCGGCCTGTCATGTTTCAGTCTCTGGGTTTTGCAAGTCTTTTTTCATGGTGGTTCTCTACAGTTCTCAGCAGTCCTTGAATAAAGGCAAAATAGGCCTGTGCATAAATAGAAGGGAAATCCTGTTTCTACTTCAGTATACTTGCATACTGTAGTCTACTGCTGATGTCCTCCATGGAGTATCTCTGCCACCTCAAGTGAGGCAGGTAGCTACTTGAGAGTAAGCATTTTTGCTTGTGGCATTCTGTCTCTGAAACTCTTCCTCCAGAGAGCATTTCTTGGTACCTATAATAGTAAATGACAGGCAAAGTACTAGGGGAAGACATCTTTATTCTCCCAGGTTTTAAAAAGCTTTTAAAGGGACTTTTAGATCTGCAGTTTTTAGTGCCTTTTTTAACTGTTTTGATGTACATTTTTACTGGTATGTGTTATTTTATTTGTGAAGCACTCTAAAAACAGATGTTGATGAGTGATATAGCAATTCCTTAAATGAATAAATGTAATGTGCTATGGATATGTAAGTGAAATGTATATATGTGTACATGTAAAAACACATTTTTGTGCCTCAAATACAGTTGTTATTTTTGTTAATTTCATTTCTATACTACCCCATAACCCAAGTGCTCAATGAGCCAGTGTGAAGAAATGTCATGTATATAATTTCTACAATGTTTACTTTGTGTGACCTATGGCAGGCTATAATATATTATAGTAGGCTGAGGCCTTGCTTTGTTACTATCAACAGAGGACTCTGTAATGGTTGACTGGATAAAACAGAGGGAAAGAGATGATCAATATTCAGTTTTTAAAATAATGTTATATGACACCTGGATTCAGCTAATTCTTATTGGTTGGAAATTGTAGCCTGGTAAAAAAGAGCATTCGGTAATGACAGTTAAGAAGATGGAAGTGGGGATAGAGGAAGTGTATGGGTAGTCACTGAGGTAGTAGAACTATCAGTTGGTGGGTGGCATTATAGGAGGACTAGAAAAAAGCTAAGGAGAGAGGAAATAGCTGAGTCCTGCATGCCATAGTCTTCCTTCTCTGTGCGATTGCCATGTGTAATTCGTAAAGATCAGAGGTTGGGAGCAGGTGCCTGTGTTATGCAAGGACACTGCCTTAAAACCTTCCAAGAAGAAGGTTAGATATGTAGGCAGTGAAAATCCAGATAAATTATCCAAGCAGCCAGAAATGCAGTAGGAGGAGTATCAGAGCAAGTCTTGTACCCAAGAGCTGAATATGATTATGAGTGTATTTGGCTTGTGTGGAGTTCAAGAGAATCTGAGCTGCAGCCATTAAGGGGCCTGCATGAGCAACAGTAGTTCTTGAGTCCTTAAGAAGTGTCAGCAAGCAGTTTTTTAGAATCCCAAGTAAATGTTAGTACTTATTTATGTTAAAAAATGACCTTAAAGACAGTTAAAATACAGTTGTATTAGTTGTTTCAACTTGGCGTAAAATGTCTTCAGAATACCTGCCCGTAGAGTCCCCGTTGGTCTTGTCTGTGATTGAGGATAGAAGAATATCAACCTGGTGGAATAGTGGTATGTAAAATGAAAGTATTGCCTAAGATAAATTTCTTGTTCATGATGTAACTGATTAAGATAACATATAAAGAATAAAAAGAATGGCAAGATATAAGTTTTGCAATTGGAATAAAAAGTTGTGGATGCATTAAAACAGATGGTATAGGATCACAAAAGATATTGGATATCCCTAATGTACAGTTGTTCAAGTGAGGCATATACCAGATAGGATATTATAACCTGACAAGGTCAAATGGTTAAAATTATATTTTTTTGAACTAGACAGATTTTTTTTTCAAATATGATAATTAAAATATTTTTAAAAGGTTGAAAATCCTTTCCTTAAAATTATTTTACAGATTGAAATAAGTATAATGAAAAGTTTATGCCATCAATCTCATCATTATGTCAACTTAAAGAATTAGAAGGGTTTCAAAATTAAAGAATAAAGATATTCATGAATAAATAATCTGGTTAAAGATTGGCTGGAGAAAATGAATAAAAATGGGAAGATAAATGCTAATTATTGCTAGGAAAGGAAAAAATAACCTGGTATAATATGATTCAATTCAATGTTGGACTAGAGATTGATTAAAGAGAAGAGATAGATGCAAAGATTATACCAAATTTGAAGATATAATTATAGAAAAGAAAAAACAATATGTGGATGAAAGGGATAGTTAATAAAAGTTATAAGATATTGTTATGATCCACTTAAAGCAACATGAAAAACAGATTTCAGGAAGAAGATCAGTAATGAAATTGGAAGAGGATATTAAAATGTATGTCAATAAGAATAAAGGAAAATTGGTTAAAATAGTATGGAAGTGGGACTTAACCCTGGTGAAATTGAGTTGTATGAGGGGTGTTCAATGTATTCTCAGTATCGGGTTGATTCACTATTGATATGGGTAATTTAAGTATTTCATTAGCTAATGACACTATCTGAGGGTATACATGCAAAATTTCAAATAAGTGTGATCATTAGTTCCCTAGTAATCCTCAGTGAAAGACGACCATAATGACTGATGCAACAATGTTGAAGAAAATCGAGCACCACGCTGTGATTAAGTTCTTTACAAAACAAGGAAAAAGTCAAAAAATCATTCATGAAGAGATGGTGGTCATTTACCAGGACTCTGTACCTTCATTATCTACTGTTCAAAAGTCAAGTGAATTTAAAAGGGGCAGAGAAAGCATTGAAGACGACCCTCGCTTGTGTGGGCCAGTTACTGCCACTACAAAAGAAAATGTGAAAAAAAATGAGAAACTTGTATTGGAAGATGCCCGAATAAAAATCAAAATGTTAGCAGAGATGACAAACCTATCCGTTGGTACCATATTTACTATTTTTCATGACCATCTTAACCTTTCAAAGGTCTGTGCAAGATGGGTGTCGTGAATGCTCATGGCGCCTCAGAAACAAGTGCGAGTCGAGTGTTGTAGGGAGTTTTTAGAGCTCTGTGGTGAAGATCCTTGAATATTTTCAACCGGATTGTTACTGGAGATGAAACTTGGGTTCATCACTATGACCCTGAAAGTAAGCAGGAGTCCATGCAGTGGCATAAAAAAGGTGCTGACCCTCCGAAGAAATTCAAAGTCACTCCCATCGGCTGGAAAAATCATGGCCACAGTGTTTTGGGACTCAAAGGGAATTTTATTGATTGAGTACACAAAAAAAGGTGAAACCATAAACGCAGCATCTTATGCAACCACTCTGCGTAATTTAAGAGAAGCAATTAAAGAAAAAAGGCGGGGAAAACTGACCGCAGGTGTATTGCTTCTTCACCGTTCACATGGTGCGTGTTTCGAAGGTTGCTGTGTGAGTGTGGTTTCGAAGAAATAAACCACCCACTCTATAGCCCGGGCCTGATCCCCAGTGACTACTACCTATTCCTGAATTTAAAAAAAGATCTTCGTGGAAAGCGATCTTCTGACCATGAAGAGCTCAAGGCAGCAATTAACGCACATTTTTTAGACAAGGAGGAAGGGTATTTTTACAGGGAATTGAAAAGTTAATTTCTAGATGTAATAAGTGTATTGAAGTTATAGGGGATTACATTGAAAAA